ACTACTGCCCCGCTCTGTCAGGCACTGTTCCCCAAACTCAACGCGACATTGAAGAGGTTTGTCGGCTAAGACGGCCAACCAATGTCCAGAGCCTTCAGCCTCTCAGGCTGAATCTCGTCCACCTCTGGCGCCTTGCTGCCGAGCTTCTTAACGACCCCAGAGACCTCTGGGATATGATGCCTCCTCCTCAGAGGATGTGTTGGTCCAGTTCAGGAGTTCCTCCTTGACAATATCCTCAGTCGCCTGAGCCAAGCCCTGCTTTCCCTTCTGACGGCTTACCGGAACTTCCTTGAGGCCAAACAAAAGTCCTTCTCCGTACTTTCCCCAAACTCCTCCCACACCCGGATTTTTGCTTTGGCAACCACCGACGCCGCAGCTCTCCTGCCCGAAACTAACACAGGAGTCCAATAACTCTTCTCCATCTTTATCCTGTTTGACTGAGTCAAACTTTGAGAAGAGCATATTAATTGTATGTTTTGTATGTTAATAAATTACAATAGTCGTCCAAATCCCTGTTCATTGAATTATATATTCACTTAAAGGTATGTCACATAGCCTCACGGCACACACACACCTAAGCCCCGCCCTTAGCTGCCAGTAGCTCCTTTGTCATTTGTCCATGGAATGAATGCCGGTTGTAACATTTCCCACTAAAGACACAAGCCACATTTTAGTGGGTGTTAGTGGGTTTTTGTCCAGTGGAAAAGGGGCATAAGAAGGCCCGACACTCAGCAACGTGTAGCCGCTTAGTGGCTACCCTCTGGTTCTCCAGGAGGAACTCTAACAGCTTACAGCTTACAGCCGCCCGGCTCCTCTCAGCCTGGACAGCTCAGACAATGAGTCCGGCCCCTCTACAGGAGTTTGGTTCCAGACCCAGTGTTATGCATAAAGGCGAGCCCAAATATATCCAGTTGTTACCGCTCCATCTCCTGCCACGAGCTCTGGTTGCTCAGAGAGGCGACTCACGTTCCACACCTTTGAGTCGAGTTAAGACTGTTTTGTCAAACTATATTATTCCATTTTTTGGCTGCAATCTAAGCAGCTCTGCAGGGTTTATTTAACAAAACTGAGATGTTGAAATCCCCCAAAAAAGAGAAAATGGAATATGAGCAGAGTGTGTTCATCTGTCTGACCGCAGTTAACACACACACACGCACACACACACACACACACTGATCCTTTTTCTTTTCTTCTCTCTGACTCGTCAAGGCTTCTCTCTCTTAAGCAAGAATAATAGCGGTGAAAAGTCAGGTTGTGTCTGTTTTCCGAGCCAGCAGAGCAGGTTTTAAATCAGCTCCCAGCAGCCACTTGTCAGGCCTTTTAACCCTTTAATCACCCAGAAGTGTGAACTCCTGCGGCTTAGTGTCGGATGACCAGCAGCTCCAAAGCTCTGGTTTCATTTTCAAGTGCCTCCTTTTTCGGTTGGATGATACACTGATAATCCTTCTTGTTGTTGTTTTTAAGAGCCCTCGTAGATGAGGTGTTTCCGCAGGGATCACCTGTCAATCAAACCGAGTGGGTGGGACAATGATGCTCTTAAGTTTGTTCAGGTTTGACTTTCTGTGGGTGGCGCTGAGTCTGAGCCCCAAAGAGATATCTACTGAATGTCTTTGCAAACTATATCATAAAAATCATTGTTAATAATATCTATTTACATGGTTTTGACTTACAAATTATTTTTTCTACTTGTTGTAATTAACCATTTTTAGTCTTACTGTAAATGTTTCATGCTTGTCCTCCTGCGTCTTTTCCTCCCTGCAGAGCTCATGGAGCAGAGATCACGACGACGCGGCATCGATCCGGTCGGCCGGGACGCCGGGACCGTCCAGCGGTGGACACACGTCCTACAGCGGAGACAACAGCAGCGAACACGGTGAGAATACTGACGGAGCTCCACATCCACGGTCCATGTTTGCACGTCTTTATGTTTTACAAATACCAAACTGTGAAAATACTCCACTACAATTCAATGTCCTGCATTCAAGATGTTTTTAACTCCTTTACATCCTGTCGTCTAGTTTAATGCATCATATTCTATAAGATCATCATGTCTTTGTGAGAACCTCATATCTCTAGAAAGAACAAACAACCTGTTTTCAGGTTTGTTATGAAGCATCTTCCAGCTGATCCAAGAGTCTTTTTAAAGAGTTTATTCATCTGAAGAAGTAGGAGGATTTTATCATCACATAAAAGGAACATTTCATCCTTCAGTTCATCACAAACATTCAACATCAACACATCTGGAGATACCAGGTGTTCACTGGACAGGAAGGAGATGAAGAACTGTAACTAAAGCTGTCAGACAAATGTAGTAAAAAGTACAATATTTACCTCTGAGATGTAGTGGAGGAGAAATGTAAAGATCCATAAAATAGTACCTCTAGTGTGTGTGTGTGTGTGTGTGTGTGTGTGTGTGAGAGAGAGTGTTTGTAAAGGGTGAAAGAGGTTTTCCGACATGTTAAACCTGACGTGAGTTTGAAAATAAAGGGAGACGGTAGAGAGAAAGAGGGAGTGAGAGAGTGATGAAGGCTGACAGACGATGTGAGCAACGAGCCGAGCTGGAAGAAAGAGAGCTTTATGTCCCAGAACACACACACACACACACACACACACACACACAGGGGGAAATAGAAATAACACAGCATGCAGTGAACACACTCACACTGAAACGGGCATTAACAGAATTCATATATGTTCAGATTTTACAGTGTAAATACACAAAAAGTATACTATGTATAAGTAAATATGCAGTACACAAAGTATACAGTGCTGTTTATGAAGACATGGACACAAGCGTTTCACAAAATATGTTTCCATCTACTTTTACTTCAATTTGGTTTAGAAAAATGGCTCAATATCTCCCAAATGTCTTTATGCTCAGCTGAGAGTTACAGGTTTTAGAAAACTTGATCTGCTGTCTTCAAAATATTCACACATATCAGTAATTGAACAGAAACCTATGTACATACAGTTATGATAGAATAAAACACTAAATGCAGTTCCATTTTTAAACACACACACACACACACAGCTCTGGCTCCATGCTGCTGGTCCCAGTCCAGCCGGTTCTGTTAGCATGCATCTGTTAGCGGGCCAACTGAAACAGGTCCTGTGGTTTCTCTATCTGCTGCCCACATTTACAGGTTCACACCGCTGTGGGGGCGAGTCTGACCTTCAACAAACAGGCTGAGTTTGATTCAATAGGAGATTTGTTAGTCAAGCGTTTACAGTCCCAACACACATCAGCCTTAATAGTGAGATAGACTTTGGCTGGGGTTTTTTTCACGCTGGTTTCTGTTTCACAAGCTTCCTAATGTTTTTTCTCATTAAGGATTTCTTTCATCTGTTGTTCTGCAGAAATGTTCCTGTGGTGTTCTGCTTGTTCTGAGTAATGAGTATCTGCTGCTTTACTGGACAGTAACATCTGAATGCCATTTCAAATCAAAGACTGCTGTTATTTTGTGAACTTTCAACAACTCTGTTGGGGTTTTTGACAAAAAGCCTATGGTGCTAATGGAAGTTGTAGTTGTTGAATGCTGATGGCGGCACGATGGCGGTTCCAGAGATGGTGAAGTCAGTCAGTCGGTCGGTCGGTTGGTCGACCATTTTGGTCACTCTAGACCCTCAGAGGATGAATCCCTTTTTATCTAGCGCCACCGTAAGGTTTGTTTTCTTTTTAGTGAATAGTCTTGATAACTGTTTGAATGATTGCCATAACATTTCGTCCAGTTATTTATGCTGCCAAGAATAAATCCCACCGACTTTGACGATCCGCTGACTTTTATGTGAAATATCTAGACATCTACTAGATGCACGGTGATCCCCTGACTATTTATCTTACCACCAGGTTGACTAATGTGGTTTTGGATGGATTGCAATGAAATGTTGTTCACACATTCATGTCAATGGTTTTGCACGTTACCGCAGTCTTGAGAAGGAAGGGGCGATCGGAGGGGGGGGTTCAGCTGGTTGCAAATTGCAACCACACCGCTGGATGCAACTAAATCCACTCTGGTCCTTTAGCTATATTTGAACCATTGTAGAAGTGAAAAAGATGGTGACAGCACAATTATTGATCAACCTGTTCATTGTAGTTTCCATCAGATCTTGCAGAACTACTGTACTGTAAACAGCTTGCTTGTTGGATATAAAGCTGTGGTTACGTGTTTTGGGGATAACCAAAACTATAAGAGTTTGATCCACTGTCACACCTCCACTTGGAAAACAAATCTGCTTCATCAGACGGTTCCCTCTGACTGGACGTATCAGCAGCCAGACCTCAAGCTGCTTCAGCTCTCTCTCTCTCTGTTGGCTGGTAGATATTTAAGCATCACTTACACACAGCCAACTCCCCGGTTGACCTCCGCAACGGAGCCAAATGTGGTGAATAAGAGATTTCTTTGACGTTACTGCAAAACCTCAGTTCGGCAGGACTTCAAATGACATCTGCTAACTCAGGAGCCAAAGCCAACCTCTCCAGCATTTTTGGCCGCAGTGCTCGGTGTTAATTTGCCATCCTGGGGAACATAAACAGAGAAACATGTCCTCAGCATAGACGACCATAATACTGTCACTTTGAATGGGCTTCCTCTGTCGTTGAAGAGAGAGAGGAATATACACTTGTTTGTTTTCCATAGGATTAGGGGATTTCAATCTCATGTCTGTATGTTAAGCCTACAGCTAACCAGATTCTGTCCAAAATTCAAAGATATACCTAACAACACCTCTAAAGCTCCCTGATGCACACCCTGTTTCTTGTTGTTTCTTCTTCTTTATTGCTTTTTCGGGGTTTCTTTTACCGTGGTGTTTCCTGGTTTGAGCTCCTAGTTCCAACATAGAGAAAACTTTATGTTACATACAGTTGTGTTTTAAACAATGGTGCACAGAGCCAGCTCCATAAAGCTCCATTTTTTTTTTCCCGATTTGTTGTGGAAGAACTTGACCTCAGCCCCACCTAACACATTCGGGATGAACTGGAACACTGTTAGCCCAACCTGATCACGCAACATCAGTGTTGGACCTCACTGATGCTCTCTTGCAGCCATATTCAAACATCTGGTTTAACAGCTGGAACTGGACGAGTGCAGGCTTTAATCCATGGTCCACTGTCCACATACTTTTGGCCGTATTGTGTATTTAGCGCCAGTCCAACCTCCTATACGTCTTTAAATTCTCCCAGCAGGACACGTTGAGTTTCATCTCAGTCCGTCTCAGTGTTTTTATTCCATGTCTGACCTCAGCAGTGAGGTCACCTTCATTAGAGCATTGGATTGGCTTCTAGTCATCTGACCCCTCCCACTGTCAGCAGAAGAGAAATGGTCCATAGTGGAAAATAAAGACTCTACTTCTCTCTCCCTCTCCAGTGAGCGTACTTCCAACAGACCGTGGATAATAAAGTTTAGTACAAACAGTTCTTAAAGAGCGCAGCGATGGAGGAGGCAAGTCGGCACGACCGGACTGCTTCATGCGTTTGTTTCTCTTTATCTCACACGTGCAGAGCAGAAAGAGATTCATCATCTTCATCGTGTTCATCATGTTCATCATCTTCATCATGCAAGCAGGACGACTGTTGGAAGAACACCTTCATGTTTCTTTGGCAAACTTTTTTTTTTTTCTATTGGCATGGATTTTGGTGAAGTTTAGGTGGAATGAAACATCATATGGTGAAATATTTGGTCAGTTTAATTTCTAAAAAGACACTCGCACATGAAGCTGCAGCTACATTGTCTCGTCAGTTGTTCTGCATCCTATTGGCCGTGGCTGTCACACAGCAGAGATAAAGACGACATTGGTTCTGATTTTAATGCTTCTAGAATACTTCTCTATGGTTTGAAATACCGCATTTGTCTCCAGACATTATAATATTATGGTGTTATTTCCATACACCTGTGTTTTTGAACACATTTTTCTAATTTTGCATCAAAAAATCTAAGCAGAAACGCCAGACGTAAAGAAAATAAATACAATATTAACCTTGGCTGAGTTTGGAAATGTGCATTTTAGGCTTCCAGGTGTGAAGTTATTAGTGCTCAATTTAATAAGTCATATTGTCATATTCTATTGGATATTTTCACATTCAAATTGGAAACGCGGACTAATTCACATTTTATTATGCAGGAAATTCATCAATTTGCTTAAAATTCGTGCAACATTTGAATGGAAACATAATTTATGTGGAGGTGTGAGAATTATTGAGAGCATTGATGGCCGGTTATGTTCATTTCACTTCTTCTCATCACTTCTTTGTGTCTTTGCCCGTCATCTGTGCCCCCACATGGCCCACCGTGCCCCCACAGGGCCCACCGTGCCCACACATGGCCCACCGTGCCCCCACAGGGCCCACCGTGCCCACACATGGCCCACCGTGCCCCCACATGGCCCACCGTGCAGCTTTCACTGAATTGTCCTCCATCATTTCCTGTCCTTTTCATCACCCACAATCTTCGTTCCCCTCTCCTTTTAATCCACAGGTTGTTGTGAAGCCGAGTTGTCACAAACCATTAGCAGGTTGGGTGGGACCGCTCTGTCTTTGGCTCTCTAAGGAGAGAGGGGGAGTGCGGGTGGAGTGTAAATCAGCCTCGGGGAGCTTGCGGTTCAGCCTAATGAGGCTGAGAGCTTGTTTATGGAGTTACGCATCATTTTTATGATTATTTCCACCTTTTCAGGCTCTGCTGCGTGGCAGAGTTCTGCCTCTGTTTGGGCGGAGGGAGGCCCAGGTCCGCCGCTGACTCTGAGCAGGGCGGCAGGACCTGGATCTCCTGCTGCAGGTTGCCGGGGACTGTCGCCCTAACCTTGGTCCGGCGCTGTTAAAAAACACTGAGGAGAAAATGAGCCTCATTAAACAGGCACAGGAAGTGCAGTAAAAAGACCGGCCCGGCAGCTCTTAGTGGGTTTTCAGTTGAAATGCGGCATTATGTGTCACGATCCAAAACCTGCAGGGGAGGGTTACGAAGCAGGGCAGGCCGGTGTTACTACAGGGTCACCAGTTTGAATCCAACTGGGGAAAAAGAAATCTGTGCAGGGAAAGTACACGAGTAAAGGCATGTGTTTGCTCGGCACCTTTTAATGGGCAGAAAAGTGCTGAGAGGCCTCGTGTGCACCGGGTGAAATGTGCTAATGTTAGCTAGCTGGCTGTGTTAGCAGCGCTTTGCAACCACAGGAAAATATGGTAAATACTGTATATACACTTAAACCTCCCAGGAATATTCAGTTCATGGCCAATGTGCTCGTTGTTGTGAAAACAGTGAGTTTCTTTGTGCATTTAAAGCGTTTTTATACTTAAAGAGTATATTTTATTTGTCTTTTTCCAGAAGAAATCAAGCGATTGTGTTTTTTTTGTCTGCCATGTGAAGGAGGTGTGCTCAAACTAACATTGGGTGTTGAATTGCTTTTTAAAGGCTAGTTTTTAACATGAGATTTAGGTCGGGGCGAAGTTGTTGACGTTAATCAGATGTGCACCAACCAGCCCCGACATGTTTGGTATATTTGGAAACATCTGTCTCTTGCCGTGACTGTAAAATAACATTTATTTTTCTTCCTTCCGTGTGTCGATCAGGCGACTGCCTGGATAACGGCGTGGCTTCTCCCAGCACAGGGGACGACGACGACCCCGACAGAGACAAACTGCACAACAAGAAAAGAGGCATCTTCCCCAAAGTGGCCACCAACATCCTGAGAGCCTGGCTCTTTCAACACCTGACGGTAAGTGGCCTTTTAGTGGCATTTTCTTACCATTTTTCAAATGAGAGCAAGACAATGTCCACTTGGTCGGCAACATGTTCTCACAGCTTGGACCGCTAGACCGCCAAAAATATTAGCGCACTTGTACACCTGCCGTGTTGAGGTGTGTTCACAACAGTTGACTAGTTTAAAGGTTCCCAGGTGTAGAGAGTGTCTGGCTCTACCGTCTCGCTATAAACACTTAATCAGCACTCGTGGCTGTTTTCGGAGGAGCGAACCCGTGACCTCCCACTTCTGTGCTGACATTTCTGTCCATTTGAAGTTGTGTTGACCTTCTCACCCCCTACTGTTCTGCCCTGCTTTCCCACCTGCTCACAACCCGGGGACGTTCTCAGTTTGGGGTGATGACCTTTGACCTATGCTGTGGTTCAGGTATTTTACCTGTGGGCTCATCAGAAGCGTCCCGACGGGAAGAAAGCAGAGCTGTGAATTTATACAATTATATCAGTTCTGATTGACTTAAACTTCAGGGTTGGGTGGCGAGAACCAGTTTAGAATTACAGCTTGTTTCTAATATCTATAGGACTGAAATAAGGGTCTTGGGCACAGACGTGCAAAAGGCCTCATCACCTCTCTTACATTTTATAGTTTATAGTTGTTTAGCCTCTTTTTGTTGTTGTTTTGGTATTTTTGTAGTCCTTTCTTTGTCTGTCGTTGTTTTGTGTCGCTTTGTGGTTGTTTTTCCCCTTTAAATAGTTTCTTTGTCTCTTTGCAGCTGTTTTACATATCTTTGTAGTCATGTTGTGTCTCTTTGTGGTTGTTTTGAGTCTTTTTGTAGTTGCTTTTTGTCTCTATTTGGTCATTTTGTGTCTCTTTGTAATAATTTTGAGTCTTTTTGTAGTTGCTTTGTGTCTCTTTGACATTTTTATCTGAAGCACTTTACAGTTTGCCACTCGTTCATCAGTACACCGGCCTAACCAATCAGGGGTGACCTGGTTTCAGTATCAAAAGGAGGAATATGATCTGGACATTTTCCTTTCAAGAATAACCAGGGTTATTTGTAAATGAAGAAATATTTGATGTGATCAACTGCACTCAAGATTTGATTTTGTAGTTTGACAAAATAAAACTCATTTTATTAGAATCATGAAAAGGTGTCCAACATGATGAGTGAAATCTGTGAGGTTTTTGGCTCAACTTACACCAAGTACAACAGCCTCATTACCAATAAATAATGAATGATAAAGAGCCACAGCAAATATTTACAACTGTCAACGCCAAAGGTAAACATCCACGATGTCAATACTTTATCATCATTACCAACAAAACACATAAGCAGCTGTTGTGTTCACGCTTTACAGCCCATTAGTATGACAAACAAGCTCATTTTGCTAATTTGGATTATTATGTAACTGTGAAAGCCCAGGTTTGTCTGCTCGGGTTTAGACGGGGTGTGTCCAAAGGATTAGAACAAGAGTCACTCTCACCAGAGTTATATTAATATCTTTCTGTTTATCAGCATGAAACATAAACCAATTCTTAATCATTCTGAAAGTGAGAACGTAAGAACCTCTAAAAGGAAAAATTACTTTTTACGAGTGTGAAACTGAAATGAATTGTGTAGTAAAAGTGGGAGGACCGGCTCAGTACTGAAAGTCCCAGCAGTGACTGACTCATAGTTTTGGCTGAGGCCAGCAGAACAACCAAACACCGCCGCCTCCTCCTCCTCCTCCCCATCTCCCCCTGCCTGCCTCCAAACATGGAGAGGCTAAATCGGTTCCTGCTCGACGGGGGTCGGGGCCGCCGCCAGGACTTTTAGCTGAACCTGGAGGACAGCGAGTCCTGCAGCAGATGGGAGGTGAGAGGAACGGCGGGAGGGGGAGGGAACACTGGTACCTGAGGGAGGGAGGGAGGGAGGGAGGGAGGGAGAAAAGGAGCTAGCTGTTGGAGGTTAAGGTTGAATGAAGGGCTACAGTACATTCAATGCAGGAAACAAAACACCAAAGCAGAGAAAATAATGACACAACATGGAGGCAGGTTTGAAACGAGAGGTATTAAAGAGACACACTTCACTTCTCAGAGACCCTGAGAAGTGAAAAACCAGCAGCTGATTTTATTTATCTGTTTAACTTTAAGAAAAGGGAAAAATCTCCTCACACATTTTGCCCACTGTCATATTATGATAGGTATGATAGGTATGATAGGTATGATGAACGTTTGCTTGTTAACATCACTTATACATACAGTTAGATTCTGGGTGAATTAATCAGCAGCAGGTCAATACGTCATTTCCGTCTCGGAAAAGTAATAATATTAGTCAAAAGGTGACTAATATTGCAATGAGTGTGAATCCTCATACATTAAAAAGCATTCAACAACATCCACATAACATCTTCAGACTGTCCAGAAGGAACTCACATTCTGTGTTGATTGTGGCGGTCCCTGTGGACGTACGTGGTAGTGTTTCAGAGCGCCAGAGTCCCGTTAGAAAACTTTTAATTTTAGTGCGGCAGGGTCCGACAGTCGGACCCGCTCAGTCCTGGTTCTGGTTCTCCCGTGCCTCCCTTCCCTCCAGCGGGCCTAGCATTGTGGCCTGGGCCTCCGGAAGCTTGGTGTCGCTGTTCGCTCTCCACCTGCCCCCCGGAGCTTTCGACTGCAGGTCGAAGGCTGCAGAGGAGTCGGATCTGGGTCCGTCAGCGGTTGGCTGGTCGCTGCTGGAGTCTGAGCTGGTGAACCAGCGGTGATTTCATCTGATTTTACCAGAATCCGATCGGGTGGCATCGATGACGAGCTTAAAGTATAATATAGTCGTCTCTCTCATAACCAGTTAAACGTTTCTCACAGTAACTTTAAGAGCATTTTGATACTTGTACATCTGTAGTGGAGTAAAATTAGGAATGTCTGACTTTTCATAGTTTTTTGTTTTTTTTACAGTGCAGAAATGCAGTAATACTCATTTCAATACTGTGTGTGTGTGTGTGTGTGTGTGTGTGTGTGTGTGTACACACACTTCTAGAAGAGCATTATAACTCTTTTGAACTGACAGCCTGTTTTTGATAAGTTCTGCAGACGGACTCTTTATTATCGGCCCGCTTTAATCCTGATGGACCTGGTTAACGTGGTTACGCAGAGTGGTAATGGAAACGTTAGGGGAAGCAACATGTGGAAAATGTCCGATTCAGGAGAGATCATTGAGAGATAAGTTTATCCTGATCCTTCCTGAATCTTTGTGTCTCAGTCCTCGCAGTAGCAACACTGCTGACGTGTGTGTGTGTGTGTGTGTGTGTGTGTGTGTGTGTGTGTGTGTGTGTGTGTGTGTGTGCATTTGTGAAGTCGTACACAAACTCCAGCAGCCTTCTCTGAGCCACAGCTCATAAATGCCGAGCCACAAACCGACATGCTGTTCACACACACACACACACACACACACACACACACGCACACACTTCCTGCTTTTTCCCATTTTTATTTCATGTAAAAGTGCAAAAAAACAAATGGAAAGCATCCTCCCTGTTAATGTAATTAGTTTGTAATTTACCTCCCTCTTGCTCACAGATGTTGTTTGCCTCCTTAAATGACTTCTTTATAAACCCGCATCACAAACAGGTGGTGGAAGCTTTGTGTGTACGCGACCATTTGTTTACAGTCGCCCCAACTCATTAAAGAGCTGCTTTGGCTTACAAATTACACATGTGACTCCATCAAAACAGCTGGAAAGACTTTGCACGTCCAAGTGCTTCTCAGCACGACGATGACGACGGAGAAGCAGAAATTAGAGAGAAAAAACCCCAAAAAACTATGGTGTCGGTATGAAGAGACGAGAGAAAATGACTCCCAAACTTCAAAGCGAGCGCCACAATTACAGAGTCTTCACTCCGCTCGCCTGTCGGCCGGCTGAGGAATGGGCCTCCTGAGCCGGGCGGGACTGATGAGTTAGCAGGAAGCCCCGGCGCTGACCTCGCAGACCCCCTGCCCTCCATCCATCAGGGGTCAGAGGGCACCGGGACACCTCCATCCATCCATCCATCAGCAGCTGTTTACAGACGCAGAGCTGCAGATGTAGGTGATGGCGAGGCCACGGCGACCCACAGGCACCAACACGTGTTAAGCCGCCTGCCGCCACCCAGCTATATAAACTCCCCCCCTGCACCAGCACCACCACCTCACTAGAGACAGGACCGTACAAGAGGGCTCGCTCTAATAACGCCATCAGACATCAAACGCCACCAATGTGAAATCCACCATCACATCACAGTCTCTGTCCATCATCGTGTTCTTATGTTGGCCAACCTGTCCGCCATCGCTACCACAGAATCATCTGATCACTAAACCTGGCGGTGATTGTGTTTACGCACTCCTCCAAACTTAAAGACCCAAATAATTAAAATGTGATTTCTGCGATCTACTGCCGCTTCGTCTCTCTTTCAGTGTCTTTTTATTGCTCAACAAATTTGGAAGTAATCAGCAAAAAATAGCAAGAATGAAAATCTGAATGTTTTTTCAGAGCTGGCTCCGCCGTGTATCCTGTGTTACTTCAGAGGATTTTCCGTGCACGTCTTAATTACAAACGAATGCGAGACATCTGAAAGTTGCGTTTAAGCCCATCAACAGTCGGAGCCGAATGCCGAGATGGTAAAATCAGCGGACTCGACTATGGCAGGAAATCTAAGAGAAACGAATCAAGCTTGTTGGCGCTGAAGCTTTTTCTGCTGTTCTGGTGTCAGCCGGGGATGACTCGGGCTCGATCTGCCCACTAGTGGATCCAATTTTGTATTACATTAGCAGTTAAAAGGCCTCGCATGGACGAAGTAAATCTGTGCAAATCTTTCATATAGAGTTCAAGTTTGGTGAACCTCGATGAACACATTTGTGCTGTTGACCGACATCATGCCGACTTCACATTTCTTTTAGATGAACAACAAAAGCTCTTCATAGCCTCGATGCCGTTTGGCACCATCTATTTTTAATTTAAACCTTTCCAGAGTAAGAACCTCTCTGTTAGACGGCCTATCTTTCAGACTGTTATGACACAGGAGTCAGTGGTACAAATATGTTTCTTGAATAAACAGTTTGAAACTCCAATCGAGAGATATTGGGAGCGTGATTGTGATTTGAATAGTGCAAGAATTCTCCTGGCTGGTTAATGTGTTAGCGATTAGCCTCTCAGCTAATGGATAGCGCTACTTTCTGACGTGACAAGAGCTTAAATCCTCCGGATAAACAAAAAGTTCACATGCAAGTATGTGATGAGATGCTGCTTGTGCTGCAGCCGCTTGTATATACATTTGTATTTATAAAGGGAAAGTATATCACAGATGTTTGAAACTCAAAATCTTTAACTGCATTTCATCCACACAAGAGTTAGTTCAGAGTAAGTTCCTTATTTAGTTCTCTATTTAGTTTAGAGTTTGATCTGGAGTTTGTTCTAGATTTAGTACTAAAGGTAGTTACTAGTTTTAGTCTTCAAGGAATGTGTAGTTCCTGATTCAGTTCCTGTGATTATTTGTTTAGGTTCCAAAAGCAAACTTGTTTTTGTGACTCAAGTGTTTCTAAATCTGTTATCAATACAGAGTTTTAGATTTAAGTGTAACTGATTTTTTTTTTTATTAAGTTACTTTTACTAGAAATACTAATGAAGTGTTGAATGCAATGTGCCCTGCATATGTCTATGATATGATGTTTTGAACCAAATCTCCCAAGTTTCTTAGCCAAGAACAAAGCACCCAACTATCAGGACTGTGGTTGGTCTGAAACTCTCTGGATTTGGTTAAAAATAAAGGCCACTGTGAACAGACGTTCATTTCCCCGCAGTGTGAGGACGGCTGTTGTGTGGCTCCCTCACCCTGCAGTGAAAACATCATCCATTACCTCTGTGACAGGCCCCCCAGGGACCCCAGGGACCGGCTCTCTGTGGGGGTCGCCTTTATTGACCTCTCACCCCCTCACACACACACACACACACACATACACAACAAAATGTCCAGCATGTGGTCACATACATCACGGAGCAGCCTTTCTTCCCTGACAGCGTAAATGAGCGTCCGTCAGATAATGAAGGGAGGAGTCGAGGCCAATCAGAGGACAGATGGAGGGAAAGATTTCAAGCTGTCCGAAAAGACGGATCAGGAAAGAAGACGCAATTTAAAGTCGCCTTCAAATGAACGACTCAATAATACAAAATGTTCCAACTTTTTTTTGCTTTCTGACCATTTCTTTAATTTTCAACCTTTAAATTGTATCGGAGGTGGACAACTCTGGACCAGTGTTGACGTGTTTGTTAAATGCTAACTCACACACACACACACACACACACACAGTGTCTCACACACACACTCTAAATGAGTTGTAATTACAGCCTCTTAACAGGTTTACTGGGACACTAAACAGCAACACCTTCCCCACATCACAGCGGGAAATAGTGTGTTTGAAGGTGATAAAGAATTGTGGGCGATTCTGCTAAACCCTCGGGTTTTGCTCAATGGACACCACAGCCAGATATCACAAGTGTGCTTTGTTGCACCTTGTAACCACACCCAACAGTGATGTCACAGTGTCCTGGAGCACACCTGTACATCACTGCAGCAAGATGGGGAAACTAAACCGAGCAAAAACGTTATTGTGGTTTTGGCAAATACATCGTGGTTCGGCAACACGTAAAGGTTTTAAAGCTACTACGAGCAACTATTCAGGAGACGCTGCTGCCGGGCGTGGCTGAAGGAGTTTCTGGTTACATTTTGTATGATTTTGCACGGAATCCGATGTCAAGCATTAATAATAACTATATAGAAATATAAAGTCATGTAGAGGCATCGGGATTAAATTGTTTCATAACCAGTTAAAAGGTCCTCACAGTAACTTTAAGCGTCATTTGTTCTGCTCAAATGAATAATCTGTGCACTACTAAATTAAGCTCATAAACCTCACAATTCTAAATTCATGCCCGATATTACATTATTTGGATAATCTCTATTCACAGTGAAACCGCCGCCCAGCCTGCTCTCTGCTAACAGGATTATAATTGTATAACGAACAGGTGGCTTCAGATTAAAACCCTGAGTGGAAACTCTGAAATTAGAGCGGGAGGTGGACCAGCCCTGAACCATGCACCATGTGTTTTCACTCTCGCCTCGAAGACTCTGCGGTTTCGAACATTGAAGTTGTTTTTCGTGCTGCGTGGAGATTTTATGTGACTTAATGAGCAGTAAGAGCGGGATGGTTCTGACCCAGCAGTGTGTGTGTGTGTGTGTGTTGCCCAGGTTTAAACAATCTTCATGTGACGCTCTGAAGGTCCGTCACTGGCTTTGTCTCGTCCTTGTTTTGAAATCGGAACAATTAAAGCTCCGCCCCGGAGGGAGCTGCGACTCTGTGGCTGAAAAGGCGATGAAACGACCTCGTGATTATCGCTCTTTGTGGCAAATTAGATGCAGTTTAGGCCAATTACCTGCTATCAGATCACAGGGAAAGCACTGCAGCTTTGGCAGAGGGATGGTCAGGGTGGAGGAGAGAAGACATCAAAGACTTTCCCTCCTCACCAGAGAGACATGTGGTGAGACTTCTGGTGTCGGCCCGAGGCTGTTTGATTGGCTGGCGATAAAAGCAATGGAGAGTTTGTAGTAAAACCAGGAAGTGATGGACGGTGGAAGAATCTTCCTGCTTTATATCTTCTCCTTTTCTGTCTTTCGCATGTCGGCTCGGCTGCAGTGAAAATATATTAACGCTTCGATTATTTCTCTTCACACGTTTACAAACTGTGGTTTTATTTTGTCATTACTTCAGACCCGTGAAGGAACAGGTGTTCTAAGCCTTTACTGAAATAAAAAAGTAGTTCAACTAAAAATACAGTTTTAAGAAAGATTTAGCAGTAAAATGTTCTGCTGTTGGATTTAGCTTCCGATTTTAACTTCCGTTCATCGGTTGAGAAAAAAACAACATGGCGACGGCCATAATCCAAGATGGCGACGGTGAAATCGCCGAACACGAGGCTTCAAACCAACAATCCACAAACCAACAGCTGAGCACGTCCACTTCTTACATACAGTCTGTGGTTCGAACCAAAGAAGACATGTGAAATGTCTCTTAAATCACTTGTAAGAATGAAGTGGTTCCTTCATGATGCCAAATATTTCCATCTGAAATGTAGAAAGTCTCACAAAATACAAAAACAACACATCTTGGGGCACACTTCCCTTATGCTTCCTGTTCTTAAGTTATTTATCTTCAAAGTCTCCGCCATGTGTCCGGCCGTTGCGGATGCTCCGCTCTGTCCTCTGCAGAGTTTAATGAGTCTGAACTCTTAGAAAACAACTCCTATCTGGGTCGGGGACGGGCAGCAACGTGCCGCCGAGGATCTGCAGCAGCTGGTTTCAGTCGGCAGACGAAGAAACTCTCACTCGCTGTCAGCTGGTTGCAGTGAAACATAATTTATTGTTCACATCTTTACGTGAACTTTTCTCTCCAGTCTGATACCCTGTAACTAGAGGTGGCTTGAGTTCATGCAGACACGTTGTTATTAAACCCCCGTGGTCACATCAAATGTGCGTTTTATTCTTCTGCTTCTCATTTCCTACACGCCTAATCTCAAACTTAACACGTTTACCTAAACCTGTCTGTCTAAAAATAAGACTCTCATGGCCAGAATAAATTTGTTATTGTAAAAATATGTGAATTTATAACTCTTCTTTTAATTAGACTACTCCAGGGGGTTTTCATGAAGCTAAAACCTTCTATAGAATAAAATTCCCTCTTTTTGTTTCCCTGCTGAGCTGCGGCGACGAGACGCGTCCTTCGACAGCCGCAACCACCAACAACAAGCCAACATATGGCTGCCAGGCTGACTTGATTTAACTAAAGCTCAGACTGCTGACGGGGAAGTACTGGGAAGTACTGGGAAGTCGTTTTACCTCAAAAAAATGATCTGTTGATTTACAGACGTCACTTTCCCGATGCGAGTTTATTCGGGAAAGTCTTGTTGGGCCCCATGGCGTCAGGTGACCGACCCTGAAGTTGTAATTCCACCGTTTTGGCCACTATGTCAAATTTGCTACCAAGCCGGACGCTCTTCCTGGGGGCTTGGTTAGCGCAGCCGCTCTGATTGCAAATTTTTCTGAGCGCTTGCAAGATAATATATGAACCGTTGAATGAGGACACATTGAATCAATACCTACAACATCTACAACATAACATTTGAAAGCATAATAAACAGACACGCACACACACACAGACTCCAGGGATGGAGCTGTGCAGCCTCAGGCCGGTTCTGATCCACTACTGTTAGAGAAACAAGCCTGAACCAACCCCCAACATACACACACACACACTAATTAACGGGGCGCTCTCACCACTTGGCTTCCCTCTCTAATTGGCTCACCATTTCTTCCCATTAATTATGCTCCATTTCATATCCCCTTAATGAGTCTGGCCCTGCCTCCCTTCTTAAACGCTAATTAGCAGTTTTCAGGCTCACACTAAAAAAAAAAAAACAGAAGAAGAAACAACCCCGTGATGTTTTGCAGTTTGTTGACACCTCTGTGTTTTGTCCCTCTGCAGCACCCGTACCCGTCGGAGGAGCAGAAGAAGCAGCTGGCTCAGGACACCGGCCTCACCATCCTGCAGGTCAACAACTGGTGAGTTGGCGACGTTGCCGATGCGACGTTGTTGTTGTGTGTTTGCAACACCCCCCCCCCCCCTCTCCAGAGGAAACCTAATTATGTGAATTAAATCCTATGGGGTTGCCCCTTCTCCAAATATCCCCCAATTACAGTTACAGAGGGGAGGAGGCGGTTAATTGGAGAGTTAATTGGAGCTTGGAGGCTGGAGGTAGAGACCAGTAGGAGGTTGTCATGATGTGTTCTGTTTACGGACACAGAAATGAAAACGTCAGCAAATTACACTGTTGGGGATTTAACCACACCGTTTAATCCACCTAAACTTAAAGGGTAATCTTCCTCAAAAGCATTTTTATCTTTGTATTCAGACATGATTCAAATGCTCCGTCAAAAAGAGAGAAAGGTGTCGTTGGCTGCTGCAGGACTGTAAATGGCCGTGACAAACTGTCGGCTTAACAGCTGTGAGTACTACCAATAGCCATGTTGGTTGTTTACGTTAATATTGATCATTTTAGGGGAGTGGCTTTAGAGGGAGGCCTGACGGGACGGGGTGTCAGTGTTGCCGACTTGGCGACTTCCTTGCCATATTAAGCGACTTTTGGAGCTAGTGCTGCAACACTGGGCTGAGTTTTTATGTTGGATAACTTGATGATTTCTCAAGATTATCAACTCTAGCTTTAAAGGGACTGATGGTTCCTCAGGTTTTATGCAATTAAAGCCATTTCCACAGCGTTTTTTCAAGTTTTGTGACCTTTTTGAGAGCTTCTCCAGGAAGCTTTCAGGGTTCAGAACCTGCTTCCAGTTTCCATTTTTGTCCAAGTTCATGCCACTAGAACGTGAAGGTCCTCAGCGTCCTCAGCGATTCTAGGATGTGAAAAGAGACCAGACTGTTCAGTAACAACGCGGTCGATCCGTTAACGAGACGGGAGACGAGCGAGGACACGGTTCACCGCGTCAGACGACCTAAATGTTAATGTACTTCCACGAAATGATTACATTTGTTGACATCACAGAGGTCTTATGTTGAGACTGTACAAACACAAACTAATTATTTGAAGAAAATAAAACTTGAATCAAGTGGATCAACCACCTGAGTCAAAAAGAGGTAATTATTAAGTATTTAGATTTTATATCTCCATGTATTTTACATTAATTATAAACAGCAGACGAGTGCACGCAATCTGAGGCATGTTATTTGTATCCTGACATCATTTAAATAAGTGAATGAAGCAGCAGCAGAACGTTGGAGTCAAAACAAGAATCGCATTTCAGAAACATCAGAACGATTTTTAACAGCTGCTTTTAACTCGTCAAGAGTTGAAATCCACCCTGAGATTCAGGAACGGTGACAAACTCGCACCAATGCTCCGATCTCGTAACGTCGTCAGACGCAGATTTTATAGTTTTTAGTTTCTTTTTCATCTCAGAATCACAAACGTACAAATTAAACTGCGTGAATATTTCACATGAGTTCAGACTGAGTGGAAACAGAAACACCTTCGGACTTGTTAAACAGCTGGTTCTGAGGTGATATATACTGTACATATGTAAATGAAGCTTTGATCCGACCGCTGTTTTATACTGTCAGAGTGTGTGTGTGTGTGTGTGTGTCTGTGGGTGTGTGTGAGCACTGAGTGGTTGATATGGGGTTGGTTCATTTTGACTGTAATAAAGATGCTTGAATTTACAGATGACGTCTTCCTCTACTCTCATAATTTCCTTTGTTTCCTCTCCTTTCCTTGTTTTACCCTCCTTTCCTTTTATTTCCTTTCCTCTTTTATTTCCTTAAATTTTTCCTCTCATCTCCTTCTGTTTCCTCCCCTTGCTTCCTTATGTTTCCTCTCCTCTCCTTATTTCCACCCTTCTACTTGTCTTTTACTTTCCTTGCTTCCTTTCATCTCTTTTCCTTGTTTCTTTTCCTTGCTTACTTGTAGTTCCTCTCCTTGTTTCCTTTGCTTGCTTTCTTAAATTTCCTCTCCTTTGTCGGGTGTTGAAGGCAGTTGGCGTAAATGGCATTTTCATGGCAAACAGCTGGACTGCTTTATTTAAACACACCCGTTGTGGAGGGTGAGAGGGTGAGGGAGGAGGTAGGGGGGTGGCGTACTGACCTGAGAGTGACACCCAGCGTGGGCGGGGCTTAGCGACTGTTTTACAAGCAGTGTGTCAGCGAGTGTGTTTGGTGATTGTGGTTGTGTAGCAGCTTTGTTTAAAACCTCAGTAGAGGAGACCGACTGAGGAGCAAACGCCCTCCTCCTCCTCCTCCTCCTCCTGCAACCTGAGGGGAGGGGCTGGAGGTGTTTTACTTTTCCCATGTAATATAGATATCACCTTTCTTTAACTAGGACGTTAATGTAAAATGATTTAGACGTGAGGTCGATGTTTGCAGCCTCGCTGACACCTGATGGTCACATCGGTGGAGGAAACAAACTTCTCAACAGCTGCAGGACCAAACAGAAAACAACAAGTCCAAAGACGACAGAATCAACACGATCTTTATTTACAATAATTTAGTGCAGCTTTTTGCTAGCTTAAAGTTATTTGTGCTTGTATGTGAGAAACCAGCCCAGCATCATGACAGGTTGTGAAATAGTCACATTTGTTGGGTGCAGGGACATAAATTGTCTGTTGTTGTTTTTTTCGTGTCCCTCAGGACAAAAATAATGACAATGGAAAGTCAATTAGGATCCTTTTTCGTGGCGGACACACAAATTAAATGCATCCTCGTGATTAAGCAACAGTTAGAGCAAGTGACGTGGTTTTTAATATTCAAAAAGATGACTTTCGTTGGGCGGGAGGTGGATGGGTCCAACAAACGAGACTGTGCTCGACACCGGGCTGTGGTTTTGTTGTGGTTTTGTTGCCTCAACCTAACTTTCGTTTTAGAAAAACATGGACAGTTCGTGTCCCTGAACACGAAACCAGTGGATCACATTTCAGGACTATTTCACAAACTGTGTTTGAGAAACATCTCGGCCAGGACGCCCTCAGAAAAGAGATTTTAAATCGTAACAGAACCATCCAGGATCAATAAAATGTCAAATACTTTCTCAAAAAAAAGAGAGAGACCTGATTCAAACGGTACCTGAGCACAGTCGGGTGCCGTGTCGCAGTTTATGGGTCGTCTGGCTGCAGAAGAATAAGCCTCAGTGTTATGGAGGCCGGGGGGGGGGGGGGGGCGGGGGGGGGGGGGGCAGCTGATGGTCAATGTCTTTGTTTGTGTGTGTGTGTGTTTATGGGTTGACAGCTGTAAACTCAGTCTCATGGTGTGAGGGGTCATGAATAGGTGAGGCTCTTGACTCTCTTATGGAGGTTAAAGACCGAGGGTCAGATGATTCCATTTCTTTCTTTCTGCCTCAACTTGAACGACTTTGGAATTATTCTTCTCCCAAATGAACAATCCAACGAATATGAAACAATAACATCAGAACATGATGTGATTAATTATCCACAGCTGCTGAGGTTAAACCAAGCTATGAGTTATGATTTCCATCTCAGGAATCAATTATTGTAGAATCACTTCCTCATCGTGGACGTGAATTATGAACAGTCTCGTTTCTCGTTCTCAAACTGTCTCATCTGAAGGATTTCTAAACGGCCCAAAGAGGTAAAAGTATTTAGTATCAACATAAAAAAACACATATTTAAAACATAATCTACTGCAACAGCAACATGTTTTCTTTATTCGTCTTCTTCTTTCGTTAATTATCTTGTGACATTGTTCCTGTCGCAAAAAAGTCTTTACTTATGGAACCAGTATACTTCTCTATATCTATTTTCTCCTTATTTCTAAGTATTTTGTATTTTTAGAAGACAACTCTCAAACAGCATTTAAAGCATCATGTGGTGCTAAAAAAACAGAGGGAGTAAATTATTTGCGTGTTGTCAGAACTTCGGGACGGAAACTCCCTCGAGACCCGACGATGTCAAATATTTTAGTGAAAGTTGTTCAGCTTCCTGTTGGAGCTGATGCAGATATTCCTTCACTCCTCTAAAAACTCTTCTGTATTTCACCCTTCCTCCTCCTCCTCCTCCTCCTCCTCGCCTTTTTTTTTTTACTCCCTGAAAAGGCTGCTCTGGCTTTTGTTTTCCTGAAAAGGAAACAGGGTCGTCCCCCCCACTTTTTTTTTTTTTTTTTTTTTGTACCCCCTCTCCTCCCTCTTTTCCGAACAAGTTGAAATGGAACCATCCCTCCCGGGGGGCGCGGGGGGGGAGGGGGGGTGGAGGTGGTTGTAGGGGACATAAATCAAGTGGGGAAACCGCAGAGCTTTCACTCCGGGGTGGGTCGGGAGGGGTCGACAGGCGGTTCAGAAGGCTTTAAGCTGAGGAAGACCAGGCAGAGGGGAGGCGACAGGGGGAATATGGGGGAGTTAAAGGGAGGAGGGGGGGGGTCACAGAAGGTGCCAGGTCATAGGTCACGCATACCAGGATGATGGCTTTCAAGAGTGTACTTAGAAGGGGACATGTATGAATGCATCGCTGCTGCAGCCCCCCTGACGCCTGAAGCCACGAGTGCAGTTCACACTTTTCTACCACGGTTTTAACCCGGTTAGGACGCACTGTACAAACCCGCTGTGTTACCTGTGGAATAATACTTTAAACACAATAGAAAGTGTACTGACATGTGATTAAATGGCTGGTTGCCCCATTGTAGTTTTCCATTGTACACCAACAGATGGCCGAGCTCCAGGAAGCAAAGTGGACAAACGGCTTCATTGGATTTGGCAAATTTATTTGAACTGCAAATAAATCAGAACTTAACTTGAACCAAAGGACCTGACTCAATAAGATTAAGATTAAAAATGAAACACTTTTAGCTACTAACCCGAATTTTTTAGCTTACTGGACCACCAGCTAAACAGGAACATATTGTAGCTGTAAAACTACAACTTTGGTTTTGTTTAAATTAAAGTGTTGGCTAAAGGAAACCAAGCTGCATTAGCTAACGAACTGGACCACAAACGGTACCAGAGTTTTAGCTGTTAATCTAAAATGTTGGTCAAGTTTCAAAATGAGCTGGTAAACCTGACGTTTAGCAAACAGAAAACTAAACTGAAGCTGCTGAAATGAACCACAGGATATTAATTCCTGTTAGTTCCTAACCTGAACCCTGAGTTTACTGAAACCAAACTGCATCAACTGACGAACTGGACCACCAGACAGGACCAACATGTCAGCGTTTTAAACTAAAACTTTGGTTATGTTTAAATGTTAGCTGCTAAAATAAAGGAAACCAAACTAGTTTAGCTACTAAACCTTTGGTGTCCTTTGCTTCTTAGTGTTAATCATATTACTCAGTTATCTTGGAAAGTTGAGTTGTTGTTTTTTAGCAAAAACAATGACATTTTGACATCATTGTATCTTCTCCCAAAGGCTTGAAAAAATACATAAACATTACCAATACCAATTACTAATATTAAAAAAGTCTAGGTGAGATAATTCTGTGTCTTTCCGTGGCACATGATCTGTCATTCTTATTTAGTTTTTTGAAACTTGAACTGAAAGCAACTAGATTTTCTGTGCTGATAGATCTGGAACAGAAGCTCAACTACCTTAAAGATGTTCCACGTGGTTGCATGAAGCACTTTTCATCTCAATGTTGTGATTTGAACGCATTTTTTTTTCCGTCACGCTCAGAAAACAAAGAAATATGAGAGAAACTTGTGATATTCTGAATGCAGTTGAGGTTCCTCTGCAGCTTTACAGACACAACATTGTCAACGACTGCTGCTCATCATTTATAAACTGTCTCTCCCTCCTTCTCCTCCCTCCTCCCGTTCCTCTCCTCTTCTGTTTCTCAGGTTCATCAACGCGAGGCGGCGGATCGTTCAGCCCATGATAGACCAGTCCAACAGAGCAGGCAAGTTCTATACTTGTTTTTGCATTAACTCTCCGGTCCAGATCTGCATCCAGCTTCATATATCAACATCTAGACCTGATAGTAATAAGGTGTAATTCTGATGCTTTGCTTTGGATGATAAAATCTCATATTCTTTCCAATAATTGGAATCGATTAAATAATGAGAGCAGAACCTATTATTTCTCTCTATTTAAGTCTATGAGAAAATGACTCTACTTCTCTCTTGATTTATTCCCTCAGTAAACATTGTAAACATGAGTTTATGGTCTCAATCTCTAGTTTCAACTCTTCTTCAACACAGCATGATGTTCATTTAATAAATTATGGTCCATTTAGAGTCAAACAGATCATAAAGCAGGGGATGCTTTAGGGCGGGGCTACCTTGTGATTGACAGATCGGCACCAGAGCCGTAAACAGCATCTTTACGTCACTCCTCCTCAGTCCATATATGGTTCAGCGGTTTGCAAAAAAGCCAAGATGGCGACGGCCAAACTCAAGGCTTCAAAACATCCGTCCACAAACCAACGTGTGACGTCACGATGACTACGTCCACTTCTTGTATACGGTCTGTGGATGAGAACATGACGCAGTTATCAGAAACCTGGATAAGGACTCTACATGTCACAGTACCCTGGCTTCTGTTGGATGAATTCAGATACAAACATTGATGTTCATCCAAATTTGTGAAAGCAGAATTTGATGTATTCATGTGCAAACCGGGACACTCCAAACACCTGATCATAACTGGAACACTAATTGCATGTAAACACACTCCTGCAGCCTGAATTTGAGCAGCAAGACGCACTAAAAAAGCCCCACTGGTGAACTTCCCCCCCCAAGCTCACTGTGTCTTTTGCTCTCTTGGCTCTTCGGTGTGTTAAAGCGAAACAGAGAAGCTTAAACTCCAGGATTGAATGGCCTCTAAACCCCAGCAGGATTAGCTCCAGACAAAGACGCTAATCGCTTTGACTGACCACTCCATTGAACATTTTAACCTGGGATTAAAACAAATAGGAGCCTGGCTAAAGCGGGGCTAAAGTACCGCTAGCCTTTTGGCCCCTAAGCTTTGTTAGCATTTACCCCGCAGCTGACTTCCACACAAAAGCGTCGATACACTGCTGAATGAGGGCGATGAGAAACTCTTAAAGACCTGGATCCTGGGAATGTGACTATGTAGATTGAAAAAAAACATCCCTCACTTCCTCCTTTAGGATGAAACTTTATGGATCTAATTTCCCCCGCGAGGATGAATCCGTTTCATTTGAACTCATCTGATCACTGATTAATGACCGCCTCCCTCCTCCTCCTCTCCTCCCTCCAAAGATCAGATGCAAGATGAAAAAGAGGAAAATAAACTGCAGCATAAACAAGTTTAGAGAAAACAGAAGAGATTTTATGCTGAAATTTAATACAAAACAAATGTAAGACATCATGACCTACAGCACTATAAAGGGACAATCGGTAAAAACTGTTAAATCTGCAGCATGTTTTGACTTACTGTTTGTCTATTGGGTTCATTTCACCCAACACAAGACCAACAAACAACAACGTGTTAGTCTGTCTCTCAGTACTTTGACTTCCTGTCTGTGGCTCTCAGCTCCGAGCCCTTTGGTTCCTACTGAAGATGTAAATCTTTAAAAACACAAATATATAGTTTCTTTTTT